ATCCCCAGCCTCTCCAGTGAAGTATATGTACAATCCAGTGAAGACTATAAAGAGCAACACCATAGGAACCATTAATGTACTAGGTATGAGTATGCACTGTATTGTACAGTGTATGTGTATTGTGATGGGAAATGTTATAGTGCATGAGGTGTAATAAAAATTTGAGATGATTTTGGAGCCATTTTTTGGAAAAACCATGGGCTATATATATAGCCTTGGGTACTTTTCAGAATTTTGACATTTTCTTAAAATGTCTGTAACTTGAAAAATTGAAGTCGGAATCAGCTCAAACTTTCTAGACAGCATGAGGACATCAATATGTATCAGAAAATGTAATAAAAATTTGGGGTGAGTTCGGAGCCATTTTTTGGAAAAAACCATGGGCTATTATAGAATTTTGACATTTTCTTAAAATGTCTGTAACTTGAAAAATTGAAGTCTGAATTGGCTCAAACTTTCTACACAGCATAAGGACATCAATATGTATCAGAAAATGTAATAAAAATTTGGGGTGATTTCGGAGCCATTTTTTGGAAAAAACCATGGGCTATTATAGCCTTGGGTATTTTTTAGAATTTTGACGTTTTCTTAAAATGTCTGTAACTTAAAAAATTGAAGTCGGAATCAGCTCAAACTTTCTACACAGCATAAGGACATCAATATGTATCAGAAAATGTAATAAAAATTTGGGGTGATTTCGGAGCCATTTTTTGGAAAAAACCATGGGCTATAGCCTTGGGTACTTTTCAGAATTTTGACGTTTTCTTAAAATGGCCATAACTTGAAAAATTGGAGTCGGAATCATCTCAAACTTTCTACACAGCATAAGTACATCAATATGTATCAGAAAATGTAATAAAAAATTTGGGGTGATTTCGGTGCCATTTTTTGGAAAAAACCATGGGCTATATATAGTACAGGGCAGAGGGTAACTGTAACTGTCCAAATCAAAAGTCACTCCCTCTCCCTCTCTCTCCTTCAGGTTTGGCTAAGAGAGTGAAGGCTAGAGTCCTCTTTGCATCAACATCAGAAATATACGGAGACCCTGAAGTAACTAACAATAATAATAATAATAATAATAATGCTATTAATCATGATGCTAATTACTAGGAGCATCCCCAGAAGGAGACCTATTGGGGTCATGTTAATACGATTGGTCCCAGAGCTTGTTACGATGAGAGCAAGAGAGTGGCAGAGACCCTCATGTACGCCTACTCTAAGAGAGACCATATTGATGTACGAGTGGCAAGGATATTCAATACTTATGGCCCCAGGATGCACATGTATGATGGTAAGATCTGCTGTTACAATATGAGATACTGTTATTGTGTTACCACGTATTCGTGGCCCAAAATTTTCGTGAATTTTGCATTTTTAACGACCTGGGGGCATAGCCCCCAGGTCGTTCCTATAATTGAATTCACCGTCGCACTATGTATATATTATATATATATATATTTATTTG